GCAGCAAATTTTTCGGTAGGTTGGCTTTTCTCCAATTATGCGTAAAAGTGAAAATATTAATTTTTTTATACAAATAATTACAGACTCAACGGTATGTGTGCGTGAATGTTATTTTCTATAGTAAAAGGACGTTTGAGACGTCTGACGTTTGAGATTTATTTTGATAAATGTACAGGATTCGACAGTGCAATTACAACAACATTGCGGTCCTACAAAGCGCTTACTTGCTTAAGTAGTAAAATGTATGAAGGGAACTCTAGTGGTGAAATGGCATTTTCACGTTCACATTTTACACCGATTAGTTGCTTCCCGAATACCACAAGCACTCGATATTTCATCAATATTGCCAATCAATAAAATTTCACGCTATGTTAATCAAAAGCTCCAGCCATTAGTGTAAAGTTGAGTGAGTCGACGAGGCGACGATAACGATGCACGAAGGATATGAGCATATTTTCTTCTGCTGCATATTTATCCCAAAAGGACACTTACCATTCAGCATATACAAGGATATGTGTATGTCGCTGTTACCTGTAGTGCAAAGCCTTTTGCATAGTCTGATACTGCCTTATACCGAGAATGTTTGTGAGCATTTAATCCATTATAGCCGTAACGTATTTATATTTTTAAATTGATTTGCAAAGGTGAAGGTGCGTGTATTCTTTATTATTTAGGAAACTAAAACTAAAAGGATCAAAATCGAACTTGGAAGGTTACTCGAATCCATATATGCACGAGTAAGTATTTTTCAAGCCAAAGTATGTTTGTTTCTAACTTTTTTGTTTCGTTGTTCTGGGCCGGAATTTTGCATATTTTTTATGAGTGCTTTAAGTACAAAATAAAACACAAAACAAATACGACATCACATTTTTCAGCTTAACAATGGAAAATATTGATTTTAAGTTCCCTTTCCCTTTTTTATAAAATTTTATTAAAAACGACAGAGAAAACTAAAACATAGTCATAGAAATACATTTTCTTTGTTTGAAATTGCAGCTTTTGAAAATCCCTTTGAATCTGAGATAATATTTTTTTGTCGAAATTGTTCTGGAGCGGATGCGACGCTTTTCGCAGCCCAAAATTGTTACACATCCACTTTATGGAAACACAATTTCTTTGTTAGGCATTGGATTAAATATCTAAGATATGATTTCCTTTGTATTAAATGGTTTTTTGCAGGTAAATGATAACTCACATAATTTCGCATCTCCTCATGGAGACATACGCACCAAAAGAATGCTTACCATTCATCAAATAAGCCAAATGACAAAGTAAGCAAAATTTAACCAAAAAAAAAAAAATAGGATATGTTTCGTAATTGGGGAAGTAAGTACATTTTTCCTCTAAGTTAATTTATGTCAGATACTTTGTAATGAAGAAAATTTTTAAAGACCTTAAAATTCAAATTTTGAAATTTAGTCTGTTTTTACGCATACAAGCAAGTGGAAATATCATTAAATCTATCAGTATCACGTCAAAGAAGGGGTTTACTTAAAAACAGTATTATGGGTGATAGTCGTGATATTCAAATAATAGAAATCGTCAAGTCATTGCATTGTTTTTGCTCATAAATATTTATATGCCTTCCCTAGGAGTTCGTTTCTTTCTGGTCTAACAGAAATTACAAAGAAAGACATGTTACAGGTCCTTAAATTCATCTAGAAAGGCAAATGGTTTCACATGCGTAACACTTCAAGTTATAATGAATGGACCTATATAAAATTTCGTTTTTATTTCATAATAATAATTTAGATTTAGATCATTAGGGTCTTTTATCAGGGCAATTTAATTAGTAAGTTTAATTAGATTGGTTGCCATTTGAGAATGTTTAGCCTTTTATCTGTAACTAAATCAAATTCTGCAACTTTACTTCGTTAAGCTATCTAGATGACACCTGTTTTTGTCGGCCTTGGTTTTCGCGATAATCGCGATAATGAAAAATATTAGTAACGGTTATATCTTATCTGTCCATAAACTAGCATTCGAACTAACCAACAGAAGCTCCATAAAGCGTATAAATAAGGATGATAACCTAATACATACGCAGATGTGTGACTTATTTAGGAACGAAGATGAACTCAACAATGCGGTCACAAAGAAATCTCATTCTGTACTATTTTTGTGTTAGGTTGTACCGGTGATCCCTAGTGGATCCACTTAGGCCTATTGGCCCATTGTGATTACTTTTGTGTTACTAGAAAAAATTCTATTT